GTGTCAAATTTGACAGTGGAGGAAGTCAACAATTGAGTTGCTCTAAACGATTTTTTTGATCAATAGTTTTGAAATTTGACAGTTCTGACATTTGATACTACTTTAGTGTCAAATTTGACAGTGGAGGAAGTCAACAATTGAGTTGTTCTAAACGATTTTTTTGATCAATAGTATTGACAGTTTTGACATTTGACACTACTTTAGTGTCAAATTTGACAGTTTAAGAAGTCAACAATTGAGCTGCTCAAAACGATTTTTTGATCAATAATTTTGAAATTTCACAGTTCTGACATTTGGCACTACTTTAGTGTCAACTTAGAGAGTGGAAGAAGTCAACAATTGAGTTGCTCGAAACGATTTTTGGATCAATAGTTTTAAAATTTGACAGTTTTGACATTTGTCACTTGACACTAATAGTATTATAGTATTTCATAAGAATTTACTCAATACGATGCCGCTTGGTTATTTGAAGATACAATTTGAACAATTTTGACATATTTGCTAAAGAAAAACAAAAATTTTGACATTTGACAACATAAGAAGCACTATAATTTTTTGTCTTGGTAGTTTTTAACATTAATTTGATAGTGAAGTAAAGTGAATTTTAACAGTTTTGATACATTTGACAATGATGGAAAAAGTTAAATTATGCCAGTTGTGACATTTGGCAACATAAAATTTAAGATATTTAAGCATGATATTATTATAATTTTCCAATTCAATATGTTTTTTTATTTGACGCTGAAGTGAAGATTTTAATTTAAAATGTATTGACATTAGTGTAGAATATTTGACAATTAATTGTTGTTTCAGTTTTGAAAAAAACTTCAAAAATTGTGTTACATTTGACAATAATGAGAAAAGTCATATTTTGAGAGTTATGACATTCAACAGTTCTGACATTTTACACTTGACACTAACAGTATAGTATTTCATAAGAATTCACTCAATGCGAAGTAACAGTTCTGACACATTTGATGAAAAAAGTCAAAATATGTGACATTTGTTCTGTGATATTTGACAACATAAGATTTAAGATAGTTAAAACCATATTATAATTTTCCAACTCAATATGTTTTTATATTTGACACTTTAGTGAAGGTTTTAATTTAGACAGTTTTGACATTTGACATTAGTGTAGAATATTTGACAATTATTAATTGTTGATTCAGTTTTGAAAAAAAAAACTTTATAAGTTGAGTCACATTTGACAAACAATAATGAGAAAAGTAATTTTTGAGAGTTATGACATTCGGCACCTGACAATTTGAACAGTTTTGACATATTTGACAAAAAAAGACAAAAACTTTGACATTTGACAACATGAGAAGCAGTTACAACTGTTTCACTATAATTTTTTGTTTTGGTAGTTTTTGACATTAATTTGACATTGAAGTAAATTCAATTTTAACAGTTGACTCATTTGACAATGATGGAAAAAGTGAAACTGTGACAGTTGTAACATTTGACAACATAAAATTTAAGTTAGTTATAACGATATTATTATAATTTTCCAACTCCATATGTTTTTATATTTGACACTGAAGTGAAGGCTTTAATTTAAACAGTTTTGACATTTGACTCTTGACACTAACAGTATATATGTGTTTAAAATACAATTTGAACAGTTTTGACACATTTGACAAAAAAAGACAAAAATTTTGACATTTGACAAGCAGTTACAACTCAGTAGAATTTGACAGTCATAAACATTTGAATACTAACAGTTCTGACACATTTGACAATGATGGAATAAGTCTAAATTTGACAGTTGTGACATTTAACAACGTAAAATTAAGATACTTAAAATAATTTTTTAACTTAGTTTTTTTTATATTTGTCACTAAAGTGAAGGTATTAATTTTGACAGTTTTGACATTTGACATTAATGTAAAATATTAGACAATAATTAATTGTTTCATTCAGCTTCGAAAATTTTTCAAAAGTTGTGACACATTTGACAATAATGGGAAAAGTCAAATTGGCAATGAAATCAAAGAAGCCGATTTTTGAAACATAATTTTAATTTTTTTAAAATTTCTGGTCAAATAATCTAAGTCGTGTTCTGATTGGTCGGTTTCAAAAGTCGTAATTGATTGGCTAGACACTCAACGTTAAGTCAGGTTCACCCAATTAATAATTTTTTTACTTTTTATTGGTCTAATAATTTGGCTGTGGGGTTGGCTCCACCCATTGTGCAAAATTAGATCCAATTAAAATAAGATAACTCACACTAAACGGTGATTTGTTATAAAAATTCGATTCAGAATTCAATAATTCTTCACTATTTTTTAATTGGGTGGAGTTACTTATCGTTGCTAGGTTTTTTGTCGGATTTTGACCAATAAGAAATAAAAACCGGTTTGTTCTCACGATAGTGGTAGTTACGGAAATGTGAAATGATTATCATTGGCTCTTGTAATTCGACCAATAAATTAATAAATGTATCCAACCAATCACGTTGAAGATTATGCAAAAACCTCACTGATTGGTTTTTAAATTAATTCAATTCAAATTTGGTGTGAAATGAAGGCAAAAATGATGAATTTAAATTCATTTTCCCAATCGGCGATGAAAAATAATTCAAGTTAAAGTTTAATGTCTTAAAAAAAAATTAATTCAAATTTATTTCCTCAATTGACAATAAAAAAAATATTTTTTTTTAAATGTGTGCATTCTTAGTTGGCGTTAAAAATACTCTTTGGGAATGGACGATGAAAAATTAATTTTAGATAAGAGATTATTTCGTCGAAAAAAATATTTTTCCAGTTGGCTCCGAAAAAACGCTTTAAAAAAATTATAAATTTAAATTTGTTTTCTAAATTGTCATTGAAAAATTCATTTTTTTTCCGTGTTACAAAAAATCGCACACTTTTTTGCATTGAGGTTTGTGTCCTCGGTTGGCGATAAAAAATGACAAAACCATCAGAACAACTGTCAAACTGACAATATTTTGACAAATGAATACAGAACTGATGAATTTAAATTTAATTCTTTGTTCGGCGATGAAAAATTGAAATTATAGATCGTTTTAGTGATAAAAATTAATGACTACATTTTTAAATTTAAATTTATTTCCTCAATTGGCATTGAAAAATTCAATTTTTTTTCCGTGTTACAAAAAATCGCACACTTTTTTGAATCGAGATTTATGTTCTCAGTTGGCGATAAAAAATGACTGGAAACCAGTCAAACTGACAAATTTGGACAAATGGACGCAAAACTATTAAATTTAAATTTAATTCTTCATTTGGCGATGAAAAATCGAAATTATAAATCGTTTTAGTGATACAAATTAAGGGCGATATTTTTTAATTTAAATTTGTTTCCCTCGTTGGCTTCGAAAAAACTAATTTTGCATTTTTTCCAGTATTTGTACCTGTTATTCTCCGACGACAGCTTAATATCGTTTGACAATTGGGTGTTCAACACCGAAGGTCATCCATTACCCATCAAGGGCGTGAATCCATTCTACCGCGAAGCATCAGTGTAAAAAAAAATCAAGATTTTATAATAGAGACAATTTTCGACTGATAGACTCGATCTAGTTACTTATGTGAAGAAAAAAAAGATGGCGTGTTTGTGTGTGAGTGTGTGTGAGAGAAAGAGAGATGTAACTAATCAACATTGACTCAGATTGTACATAGTTAGTAAAAAAAATTAAGTATGTATTCGTGGTCTCGAAAAATACGATTTAGTTTTAGCTAAATGCCCTTTGACTACTAAGTAGTCACACTAACTTATATTTTAACTATGATTTAGCTAAACTAACTGCGCAGCTAATGACACAAAATAGGCCAAATTTTTCAAATCTAAGGAGGCGGCGAATACAACTATAGGTCAATTGTATCATATTTTTATTTGTACATTTTTTATACATAGGTCACTGGGGCAATGGTATTTATTACTTATTTTGTTATTGTTTTTTTTTCTTCTTTTAAATTATTGTATATTAAAAACTAACTAAATCAAAGTGTTCGTAAAAAAAATTGAATCATGTGATAGAACGATTTTATTGTAATTAAACTCCCATAATTCACTTTGCGTTTTTCTAAGGTCATTAACCCCAATTTCAAAGGTAAGTTGATCTATTTTTATTTTATTAACATTAAGAAATCAAGTCGTCATATGTTTAATGTTTTTGACGTACGCCTACTCGATGTGTATAGCGCATGCGCGTGCATTCTTAAATATTACGCGCGTATTTATAACAGTGGAACGTAAGTCGCGATCGCGAATTATATGCACAGCCAACTCGGAAAAAAATTAACTGACCGAAATATTTTAGGATCATGGGTGGCGTAGTGAACGGTGTTTTTGTTGTTTTGTTGGGTGAGTCGCTAGAAATAAGGGTGCTGTGACGACGTGTGACGTCATAATTTTTCTATAAATAAATTAATGGTGAAATAAATTGTTCGCTTTTGGTTTTTAAATTACCGCAAATTGTGATTATGTGGTGGGTGACGCCAACTTGCTGGAAAAACACTAAATAACCAATTAAAATTTTCACATTAGTTTTGCCCTTATTTGTACTTTTCGTTTTAGCTTTGCACTCGACTGTACCTTTTTTCAAAATTTATGTTTTAATATCAAGGTAAGTTGATTTACATATTTTCGCCTTATTTTTGTATTCCAGTGTACATTTTTTTCGCGTTATTTTTGCACTGTGCTGTACATTTTATCGAATTTTTCGTTTTTTTTGTGAAATTTTAATTGGATTAAATTGTGGCTGCACCCACCGCCGCCACTCCTCGTTGAGGTCACAATAAACTCCCAAAAATCGTGACGTTTTACTCTAAAAATACTCAAAATTGACACGATTAGAGTCACTCGATTTATTTTTAGTTGGGATGACAGTGACCTATTTTTTTGAATTCTTGTAAAATTTATTAATTCCCGACCTTGAGTTGCAATCGTTGAGGAAAATTGCTATTTTTCTCGGTTCAAGGATAATTTATAAAGCGTAAATTTAGATTTGTTTGTTTGGCGAAAAAATGGGTTAGCAGGTGAGAAATTACGAGGTTATCGATTTTTAATAAAGGGAGGAAATGGGTTGGGATGGGGCGAGATGGGTGAAACATGAAAGTGATAAGAGAAAATGTATTTTTCGTGAGGAAATTGGCCTCAAAACGAGTGCAGAATGTTAATAAAAGTTAGAAAATGGAATTTGTTGAAAAAATCTAGAATTTGAGCAAATTTCTAGAATTTTATCAGGAATTTAGAAAATAGTTATAAAAAATAGAGTTTTGCAATTTTTTGATGGTAAAAAGCTAAAAATGTAGAAATTTTTGAAGTAGAGGTGATAGAAATTGACTAGAACTATAGGAACCTAGATTTGTAAAAATTAGAATTCTAGAATCGTATATTTTGAAACTTAGAAACGTGGGTTGAAATTTCTAAAATTCAAAAAATGAGTTTTTTAAACTTGGAATTTGAAAGCCTCTAATGCTAGAAATTTGTAGAATTTTTTGAAATTTTCGCTTCTATAGAAACACGAAATTTTTGAATTAAGTTGAACTCTAGAAATCTAAAGTTTATAAGAAACTTATAAAATAGAAATTTTTAGAATTTTTACTCCAGAAACTTAGATTGTAAAAGTTGACATTCCGACATAGAATTTGGACTTGCAATTTCAGGAACTTGGGTTGAAATTGCTAATTTCTAGAACTTAAAAAAATGAGTTTTTTAGTGTGGGAATTTGAAAGCCTCTAATGCTAGAAATTTGTAGAATTTTTTGAAATTTTCGCTTCTATAAAGACACGAAATTTTCGAATTGAACTTTAGAAATCTGAAGTTTATAAGAAACTTTGAAAATAGGTATTTCAAGATTAAGCCTGTGTTGAATATTTCTAGATTCTAAAAATCAGAAT